CGCCTTCAATAAAATTAACAGAGTAAATGCATTGTGGCAAGCAAGGTTACATTGGCCTAGAGCTGCCAGATTTATTTACAACACTTATCAATGCAACGCAGACTTGATAATCCCTGGAACTAGTAAAAGACTGTTCAGCAAAGAAGGTGTCACCCAAGGTGACCCTTTATCAATGATTTTGTATGGATTAGCAACTCTTCCACTAATTCAGGAATTAAAAAGAATGCCAGATGTTTCCAGACCTGGTATGCAGATATACCAACTTGCACACTCAAGCACTTGCACTTGGTCTTCATAGACCATCTTGTCAAGGATCCCTTAATAATGTGATGCAATGGTGGCAAAAACTTAAAGAAATTGGTCCAAAATATGGATACTACCCTCAAGCAAAAAAAACCAAACTAATTTGGAACCATGATTTTGAAATTCCCCAAAAAGTTATGAAACAAATGGAGGGAATCGAAGTTGTTCATGGCAGCAAGTTTTTAGGAGGCTTTATTGGCTGCGAGGAAGAAAAGAAAAAGTTTGCAACAGAAAAGATCAATGCTTGGACCCAGCGTGTTGAAAATATTGCTGAGATTGCTGAAAAACACCCTCAATCAGCCCATACTGTTGCTACAAAATCATTACAAGCAGAATGGACTTTTTTCCAGAGAGTAGTAAAGGCGGTGACACACTATCGATCTTTTCCCCGATCAAGACCCCGAACCGAGCAGGGAGAAGGGAGAAGGGAGATAAATATCAGCAAAATTTTACTCCGAACATTTCCCCGAACATGACCAAGACCAGACGAATTCTACCGAGCGCGGCAAAAGGAAGTTTGGAGAGAGATAGAGAGTGTGTGCGAGTGAGAGCGCGGAACTATCAATGCTAGCGCAGGCGGCCGCTCGGTGCGGCGCTCGCGACGATGTACGGGGCAAAAATGTACCGTGACACACTATCGTACATCGGACCGTACATCGGACCGATCTTTTCTTTGATCTTTCGCCAAAAAACCGCCTCCAGAGCGCTCGTCTCCCTGCTCGGCCTGATGTCTTGTTCGGCGTCTTGATCGGTGTACGGACCCGTGACACACTATCGAACATCCTCCCTTCGACCTCCCTTCTCCCTTCTCCCTGCTCGGTTCGGGGTCTTGTTCGGGGAAAAGATCGATAGTGTGTCACCGTCTTAAAAGTTGAACCAGAAATGTTCAGTCCAATCCAGCACACTATTAGAACATCACTTTTCCCCAATCTGTTTGGATTACAAGAAGGCCTATGTAAAGAAGAGCATGAATTACTTCATCTAACAGTAAAAAGTGGAGGAATAGGGATGGCTGATCCAATAGTACAATCGAAACACATATATGAAACGTCAAAAAGAGGGTGTGAAGTTCTCTTACAATCTCTTGCATTAAAAACCTCTTTTGAGTTCAGTGAGCATGAAGATGCTTTAAAAAAGCATTAAAGTTCCATAGAGAACAAAAGAAAACTGAAGAAAACAAATTATAAAATGAAAAGTTAAAATATTTTTCACTACAAAGGCAAAATGTAATTCTACGAAATGCTGACCCTAAATCAAAACATAGCAACTTGTTATCCTGTGTACCATTGAAGAAATTAAATTTAGACATGTCACCCCAAGAATTTAGGGATTCCCTGGCACTGAGATATGGTCGGACACCGATCCATTTACCAACCAAATGTGTTCCAAATGTGATGGCTGTGGGAAAGAATTTAACACAGACCATGCCCTTACATGTCCGGTAGGTGGCCTAATTATCAAACGACACAATGAAATTAGAGATGCTTTAGGAAACATTATGGAACAGGCATGGGGGAATTAATTGTATCAAAGAGCCCCTTATAGCAGAGAATAGAAATGCAAACGGGCCTGCAATTAAAGCTGACTTGGCATGTAGAGGGGTATGGGAGACACAGAGGGAGGCATTATTTGATATCCGTGTCTGAAATTGACAAACTTTGAAATTGACTTTGAAATTGACAATAATATTTGAAACAGCTGGTTATACTAAAATTGGAGACATGTGCTATAAGGATTTATTAGATTATCCACTCACACAACCAGTTAAACCAGTTTTTATTTGCAAAAAATCAAAACATAACAAAAAAAGTTCGACATAATTGAGACTATAGACTTCGACCAGGATGGCCGATAGGAGGAGGCCGACGAACTTTAACTGGTACACGCAAACGAAATAAAAATACAGTAATACTATTGTCATTGATAGCCAAATACAGCAAGCACCCTTCCGTGTTGGGTTCAAATAGGAGAGAACAGGAAGAAGTCTTGATAAGGAAAGATCTGGAGATGAGAAAATAAAACTTGATGAGAGAAAAGGAAACAATTGAGACGTTTAGGGAAGTAGATAGAGAAATAGGAAGAACCAAGGATACGCACAGGCTTTTAAATTGAAAAAAAAGAAACAGACAAAAACAAAGAAAGAAAAGAATGAAAACTTCCCTATGAAGGTGAGAGGAAAGTTTAGAGTGAATCCCAATGATCTCTATCGCGCAGGGCATTAGGGGAAGGGAGCCATGCCCTTAGGGTTTTGGACACATATTGTGTCTGGACGAGGATTGAATGTGGCCAAAGCCTGAGAAGAAAGATTGATTATTCACGGGAAATCGTCCTGGCAAATAAGTCCCAGGCTTCAGAGGTGGTGATGGGAACGAGGCTTTGGTTTATCATTTAGGCTATCATCGATTTAATGTTAATGAAAAGAGAATCTGTGATGTAATTTTCCTGGCGGGCGACAAGTGGGAAATTACGCCACCGGTAAGAAAACGACGAGATCCCAGGATTCGCCCTAGTCTGGTCGCGGGGAGTTTCCCAGGAGTCGATAGTGATTCGGATAGCCTAAATTTGATAGCCCTGGTTGTCAGAGCTCGAGACGAACGTTGCGGGTTACCCAAACACCCAACTCGAAATCACCACTCTAGTCTGGGGCTTGTGGGGAAATTAATAATTATAACTTGACTTGACTCTGTGGGCAAATACCTAAACGACACTCTACTAGCTAACTTAACGAGTCAACAAGTAAGCTAAGTAGTCACCCCGCTTACCTACGGAGTTAAGTCGTCAACCTGCAACAAACAAGGTTAGTACAAGAACTCCCACAGAGTCCGAATTTATTAAACAAGTTGGCTTAAGTTGTCCAAGTGAGACACGAAACGATAAAAAACTGACACAAAAAAATAAAACTGCTCCTTGAGCTGAAAACGAAAAACTAAAACTTTAACTTCCTCACGTGTTTAACTTGGAACCAACTTTGACAGAAATTGTCCAGCAGAAATCTGTCTGCTGGAACAAACTTTGGGACGTTTGGGGAACTTTAAAAAGGGTTTTAAGAATTAAAAAAGAAAGTCCCAAGACGGATTAAGAAACGTTAACGAAAATATATTCCACCAACTGCAATACTTTACCAAATTAGTTGGTTAAAAATGTACGACTAGATCGGAGAGTCAGGCCTAGCCTTCAAGTTCGACCAAGTTCCGTTCACTACAACTGGTCGAGTAATATACAATAATCTGTAACTTAGTTACGAAACTTACCCGATGACGAAATTATATCAAAATATTCACTACAAAACAATACATACGAACTTAAGCTTTCAGAGCTTGCGATACGAACTTTAACTTGCACGAATTTTCGAGAACGACCCAAAAGCGAAACAAACTTACGAAAAGCCGGGATTACGAATGACAATTCTTCTCTCTTCTCTGTTCACCTCCCTCCCAATTCGAGACGAAAATTAACTCGCTCTCCGATTGGCCAACAGGACCAAAGTCAGCTGAGACCAGCGTCGGTGAAGGCAGGCGCATGACAGCTTCCACAAGCTTTATAGCTGCCTCGCACAAAAGGTGGCTCAGCTGCTCTTATTTTCTCCCGTAGCCCGCCCTCAGACGCAGTTGGACAACCAAACAACCAAACTGACACCAACGTCGTCTGCGATCTTGGAATTTGAGGTTAGGTGCGATGTCAGTTTAGCGTCGCGACTAGGGCACAACACCTTACCTTCAGCTGTTTAAGTTTCGTGGTTTAGCCGTTATTTTACCCCCTACACATTTGACCCGTTACAAATCTTTTATTGACTTTCACAAAAAAAAAAACTGCAAAAACAGCACGTAAACTGCAAACTTAATTAGGCCTTTAACCATCTCCATCTTTAACAACAAAACCAAGAGACCAGAAAACGCCAAATAAAAAGATCAATAAAAATGATTCTCCTATGCCTAGATTGTGCACGATTACGTGTGCCAGGTTTGCTAGTACTTTTATATTTCAGAAAATAAAATAGGCTGTTGCAATTAGCTGTTTATTTCATCAGCTGACTAAGTGCACGGTAAAAAGCTTAAATCGTGAAGTGCACGTTAATAGTAGTTTTCATTACTAGTCTTGAAAGTGACTTATTGTGGGGAGAGATTGCATTTACATGGGAGGCGAAGTTGAGCGTGGAAAAAGCTATCGAGCCCCACAATGGCACTTTTGAGACGAGTATTGAACATTTTTTTCATTACGATATTGAAAAACTTGTAAACAACATGAATATTTTTTTTTCCAACTTATTATCAAGAAAAAAAACCAAAACTCATAACGCTGATAGTTTTTGTGCTTATGTCACAGAAAACAGCAAATAATGCAACAGCTGATCGGTCAGCACCGCAAAATCCCATAACGGTTACTTTCCATGCACCACAAATGCACAGAAAGTTAAGGTTATGTAATTTTGCCGTGCAGTAGCGGGAATAACCTATTTTCTTAGCTCATTTTAGGTTTAGAAATTGTACTGTACATTTGTGTGTAGAGTAATGAAAAAGTACATTACGTTACTTTTCCATGTGTAGGCACGGCAAAGGGCAACTTTCCAGCCTATCAATACGGATGGAAAAGTACCTGTTTCTGTGTAGTATGATTTAATAGTATGTACCTTATCATAGTCCTAATTAAACAGTTCAGGGGCCACATAAGGAATTTTAAATTCTGAATTTTGTTTACAGTTGTACAGACACAGTTTTAACCAGCCCAAGCAGCCAGTGTGGGAGACAGTACTGCCAGCCGGGGTGTCCTGCTTCACCTTGGATCAGTCAGCCAGTCATGTCCTGCTGGGAGGCACCCAGGGAGCTGGTATACATCAGGTACCCACTCAACCTAGAAAACATAGATCAGCGTTTCACAACGCATGCATTTTTCCCCAAAAGGATATATTTAGGCTATTTTCAGGATTAAAACGAGATGCAGCATAAAGCAGGATTTAAGGCTCTTGATACTTGATTTTCTTTTTTTACTACTTTCCATAAGAAAAATAATCCCAGTTAGTAAAACAAAGTTTTAGCATAAAGTTATAAAAAGATTAAAAGACCTATTTTAACATGATAGACCACTCACAATAAAACAGGGGTTTTTACAAAACTCATGTGATACTAAACAGCATTTTCCATTTAATTAAATAACTCTTTAATCAGCATATTACACCTCATTGATATGATGGAAAGTAAATAAAAATAAGTTTGAGAATACTTTCACTTGTACTGTTCTTAAGAAGATGGTAAATACATATGAAATATGGTTCTGTTGATAGTTTTTTTATTGACTTTATAGGCTTACCTCCGTCAGTAGTCCAAAATTATGTTTTCTATTTCAACTAATGTTGATCAAAGCTAAAATGTTTCGTTGCACTGCAACATCGTCGGGGCTTTACGTCAAAAACATCAAATAATTTACATAAAATACAACACGGGACACGGAACATTTAAAACACAAAATAACACGATAGCGCTATCATGACACGGCACGGCAGCGGTTGTAGGTAGACTGGACACGGGTTATGTAATTTCGTCTCGTCCTTCTCTGTTATCAGCTCGGTGGTCAGCTGTTCCAGATGAGATAACAGTGTTGAAGAGGGAGTGGGACTTGAACTGTAGTTTATCATTGAGGATGTATTCCTTGTGTTCTTCGTCTATGTTCATTTTATATATTTCATACTCCTCAAGTGTGTCCAATTTATTACATTTCCCGCAATAATGTAAAACTTCCAAGCCGGTCATAATATCACTCATTGAGTGATTACAATCTACAAGGTGTTGGGCAAACGCAGACTTTTTTTTATAGTGTTTAGGATCTGGTCGGTGTTCTTTATATCGTGTTTGGAAGGCATAGCCTGTTTGCCCTATGTATTTACTTGGGCAATCCGGACAAGATATCCTATACACGCCGGTTTTATCTATTTTGTCACCTATCTCAGTTTTATTCGTCAACACGTTTCTAGTACGGTTTTTAGTTCTGAAGGCTAGTTCAATGCCTTGTTTAGCGAGTTCTTTCTTTAATGTGTGTTGGATAGTGTGACTGTATTCCACGCAGACATATTTGTTCTTTTCAGAGCTGTCAATCTTCACACCTTGTTTGTTTTTGTATTTTGTGATGAGCCTATCTACTAAACCGCTTTTGTAACCATTGGCTGTAGCAATATGTTTTATAATTTTGTATTCAGTTTCATAATTTTTATAGCGCGTTTATAGGAATGTTAACATCCTATGGACCAATGAATTAAATGCTGACATTTTTTGAGAATATGGATTGTTTTTGTTTATGGATTGTTGTGGATTGTTTGTACAGAAGTGGTTGGTTTCCTGTATATGCTATAATCGAAACTGTCGACAGTCTTCTTTATGGTTAAATCTAAAAAATGTATGCAGTCGGATTCTTCTGTTTCAAGCGTGAATTCTAATTTTGGCGCTATTTGATTTAAATATTTGAGGAGGAGGTTTAATTGTCTCTTGTTACCATCAAACAATACAATGGTGTCATCCACATATCTATAGTACATGAGTATCTTATCTTTGTATTTGTTTTTATCTGAAAATATGTTATTATTTTCAACGTGATTCAAGTAGATATCAGATAAGATACCTGATAGTGCCGATAGTGGCGATCCCATAGCAAATCCGTCGTTCTGTAAATAATATTTACCATTAAAAGTAAAATAGTTCTGACGGAGTACTTCAGTTAATAGTTGTAACATTTCATTTATTGCTTCAGGTAGTAAGTTTGAATGTTTATTTAGGTTGTCATAGACGATGTCCAGTGTGGTTTTCAATGGGACATTGGTATATAGGTTTACAATGTCAAATGAGGCAAGAGATTGGTGCATTTTTATTTTAAAGTCTTTAGTTTTATTTATGAAATCATAGGTGTTTTTTTCACTTCATTTCACACCAAAATAAAGAAATTGGTTAACCAGAGTACAGTGCAACGAAACATGTTAGCTTTGATCAACATTAGTTGAAATAGAAAACACAATTTTGGACTACTGACGGAGGTAAGCCTATAAAGTCATTATCCGTAGTCCAGGGGCTATCAGAATGAATAATAGTTTTTTTTATTGAACACACTCGCTGGAACCTACATTTCTCCCTCTTCTTCTTCAATATGTAACAATCCTTCAAAGTTGTGCATGTGCTTAAAAAAAATGTATATTTTTTAACCAGATTTACATGAGTTGAGAACATGCATTGGTTATGTAAATTACAGTAATACATAAAATATCTACAAAGTACAATACAATACGATATTCTTTATTGTTCATTCGTTAAGAATTACAATAGTGTCAATACAATAGTGAATTGTATGTGTTAATTTCCATAATTTTCCTTTATTGTGTAGAAGGGTCTTGCGATTAGCCACTTCTTCAACTCCTGGTGTAGCTTGTTGCCAGTCAGGTCTCTCAGGTAGTCAGGTAGATGGTTCCTCAGTTTGCAGCCGGTGTAGGAAGGTTTTTTTCCCAAAGAGTTGTTCGGTGAACTGGTAGGGCAAATTTGGAGCCATGACGGGTGTTGTAGTGGTGCAGGTCTTGGTTTCTTAGGGGGTTTATTTCATCCACATACTTTATGGTTTCAAGTATGTAGAGAGACACCACTGTGAGGATTCCTAGGTTTGCGAATGCTAGTCTGCAAGTCTGTGGTGGGACAAGGTTGGCGAGGGCTCTTATGGCTTTCTTCTGAAGAACAAGGATTCGATTCATATTTTTTGTTGAAGTTCCTCCCCACACTGTCAAGCCATATCTAATATGCGACTCTACCAGTGCAAAGTAAGCTGTTTTGGCCACAGAGAGTCCGCCTATGTAGTTTATTCTTCTGATGACATATATTCTGGCACTGATTTTTTTGCTTTGGTGGTTGATGTGCTCTTTCCATGTTAGTTTGTTATCAAGGATAACACCGAGAAATTTTGTATGGTTTTCTATTGTTACATCCTCTAATTGAGGGACTATGTCTTTTTTCTTACTGAAATTCAGAGTTGTAGTTTTTGTGGGGTTTATTGCTAAGTCATTGTTCTTTGAGTAGAGGATGGCTTTATTTAGGATCGATTTTGAATTAAGGTACAGGCTTTGGGCTGTGTTGTCCTTGATCAAAATGGTTGTGACATCTGCATACATGATTGCAACAGCATTTTCACTCTCAACAAGTTCCTTATCCTACATGCCATAAGCTATTTATATTTTTTTTACATTTTGTTTAGAAATGTCCTCATTATGCCCATGACTGCCTGTCAGTAATAAACTCGCGAACACGGTAGTAGCTGATTTTAGTAATTTCTGGAGATTTTTTTTATATTACCGTGTCCGACTTAATTTTTAGATGATTTGGCAAAGCATTGAAGAGCAGGATTCCGTTGTAATATAGATTTTTTTTTAGAAGTAGAATGCTTAGGTATCTGAAGATTGAGGCTGTTTCGCAGATAATATGGGCAAGATCTGGGGGTTGCAAAGAGAAGTTGTTTAAAAAAAGAGTGTTTCAAGAATGTACAAGCAAGGAAAAGTTAAAATACTTGAACACAAAAATAAATCTTTACAAGAAGTTCTTGGACTGATTTTAAGATAGTTCGAATTGCTCTTTTTTGGAGTCGAAATAAAAATCTAGTTCTCTAATTCTCGCATCTCCATGTCGGTACTGTGTAGACCAAATGAGGAAAGATGACACCATAATAGGCTGTCAGAAGGACATTCTGATCGGAGAAATGTGATAGTTGCCTTAAAAGGAAGATACCGGACCCCACTCTCATGCATACATTGTCGACGTGGTCATGAAATCGGAGGTTTTTGTCTAATATTAGACCAAGGAATTTTACAGTGTCTGAAGACTCAATTTCTATATCGTCTAGAAGGATGTTTATAAAAGGATTGCCTTGGATTGAAAAAGGGACCAATTCAGTTTTGTTGGGATTGAGGTTCAGTAAATTGGAGTCAAACCACTGCTTAGTATTATTTGCATCAGTAAAAGATTTTATTTCCAATTCCTTGGCAGTTGAGCTAGACAGGGCTACAGATATATCATCCGCAAAAAGGCAGACCACCCCAGCCTCAACACTTGAAGTCAATTCATTTACATAAATAAAGAACAGTGCAGGTCCAGGGACAGATCCCTGGGGAACCCCACGAGTGACGATGTCCCGAGAGGAGACAAAGGGTCAAGCACACCCAGAACTGTCAACTCCTCTGACCTCAACAAACTGCTCCCTCTTGCGGAGATATGAAGAGAACCACTCCTGTGCCAGCACTCTCACCCCAATGGAATCCAGTTTAATGAGAAGTACATCGTGGTTTACGTTATCAAAGGCTTTGCTCAGATCAAAGAAAAGCTCTAAAGCATTTTCTCATGAGTCTAGAGCCTGTACTACTTTATTTATTAGGGTAAACTAAACATTGCATTAGTTGTTATTTTTCCTTTTACAAACCCAAATAGATTCTTAAACATAACATTATTTTTTTCTAAAAATGTTGTTAATCTTATAATTACTACCTTTACCTTTTCAAATATTTTAGATATGGTTGAGACTAGAGTTATGGGTCTGTAGTTACCACACATTGTTGGTTTGCTTTTTTTAAACAATGGTTTCACAACGGAGGTCTTTAGTGAGTCAGGGAACATTCCAGTTATAAATGAACTGTTGATTATACAGGGTGCGGCAAAAAAACCGACCTATTTTCTGCAGAGCACTGTTCAGCGACAGGTTTTTTTTTTTTTTTTTTTTTTTAAATAGAGGGCCAGGCTTACAAGTTACCATGGGATTGCATCGCAGCTAGAACAGCTTATTGTGCACCCTCGTTCACAGATCCTCATTCTCCGTCAAATCCCAGGTC